TAGTACAGTATAAAGTACAATATGTAGCTCTGAGGTGTAGTACAGTACATAATAACCGTGTCTCTCTAGTTTTTCCTGGGAGGAGGCGGCGGTCCTTGGCGGTCGTGGTGTCCTCAGACTTCTGGCCGTTGGGGCTCAGTGGGACCTGAAGCTGCTGGAGGTGGAAGCGGAGCGCTCGGCCTCCATCACGGTCCTCTGTGTGTCTGAATGTCCCGCAGGCCGCCTGCTGCAGACCGTCAGGGAGCAGGACGACGGTGAGTACCACGACCAGGACCAGGACCAGGACCAGGTCTAAAACTGGACCGACAGAAGACCTGAGACACGGAGACACGGTGTCTTTATATGTTATTAACTCTCTGAACCCCAAAACCAATTGGCAGGTTTGAAAAAAGCAAGTTTTCTTTAAAACATTGCCAGAAATACAGTTTATCACAATCAGAAGCTGTAAAAACAGACATGATTGTCGGATTTTCAACTTTTTAACGTCTCTTGAACACATCATGTGTGACGAACACTTCCATCAGGAAAAACAACCAAAGAGACTTTTCATCAAGCCTCAGTTTCTTTCCCCCAACACTCACAGACACTTGGACACGTGTTTATATAGATTCCATCGTTTTCCAATTTAAAAATATATATTATCAGAGAGAGAAATTCAGCTTGTGTTTATGTCTTTTTGATGATTTATGTCATTCTAACTGTGTTATTCTGCACTAAAGACATGTTTTAGGTCTTTTATTTTGAAGGGAAAAGAAAGTAAAATGTGACAGGAGCAAAAAACAATCCTCCACCAGAGTGCCTTGGGTTCAGAGGGTCGATGTATTGATATAATATTACCCACCCTGTCTTTATTTCCAGGAGTGTGTGAGCTGCAGTCGCTGCGTCTGTTGTCGTTTGCCGCCGGCCGCGGCTGCGTGCTGCTGAACCGTGATTGGCTGCTGCAGCTGCAGTGGCAGCAGACGGAGGCGGAGCCGCAGATGTTGTCCTGCTGCAACATCCGGCTGGCTGACGGAGACGGACACTCTGCCGTCCACCAGTGTGTCTGCAGAGACACTCTGTTCATCCTCAGCTCCACCGGACTCATATGTATCCTCTACAACAGCAGTATCATCATGAAGTAGAATCCATACTGTAGTAATACTCTGAGTACATACAAGTACATACTTCTACGTTTAAGCTCGACTGGTTCAAGCTCAGCTAAACTAAACTAATTAAACAAAGTAAGGAAAACAGATGAAATACATTATTAACAGTCGTGTTCAGTGAGACAGACTAACAGGAGGAGGACTACAGAGGACCTGGATCTGGTCTCTCTAGATCACAGTCTTCTTTAACTGAGACCTCCAGCTGTGTATGACATCACTGATGGAGGTCTGCTGGCCAGCATCGACCTGCCGGCTTACCTCACTCTTCTGCAGCCGGAGGATGACCTCGTCTCCTCCTCTTCCTCCTCCTCCTTCTGCCTCCTCCAGGTGTCCTCTGACCTCAGCACAGCTGTAGCCGTCACTCAGTCTCACAGCGCCGTCGCCGTCGACCTCGACCACTACTTCAGGTACATCAGGAAAAACCAGATGTTAGGGCGACTCCTCTGGTTGTATAGAAGTCTATGAGAAAATGACTCTACTTCTCTCTTGATTTATTACCTCAGTAAACATTGTAAACATGAGTTTATGGTCTCAATCTCTAGTTTCAAGTCTTCTTCAATACAGCATGATGTTCATTTAGTACATTATGGTCCATTTAGAGTCAAACAGTCCAATAGTCACTTCCTTTTCACTGGTTGCAAAAAAACCAAGATGGCGAGAAATCCAAGAAAGTGATGAACAGAAGTTATCATATTTCTTCTAAACAACCAGAGGAGTGAGACGTAGCCTCAGAGATGAACCAACACACACTCCTGTCTTTGCAGTTTGTATCCAGACCACCTGCTGTGTGCCGCTCCCCCCCGTCGCCCCTCCATCCAGCCCCAGGACCAGAGAGACCAGGACGGCCTGTCGAGCTCCGCCTGCAGCCTCGCCGCCCTCGGAGCGACGTTCAGGGCCGACCGGTAACCGACCGCTGACCTCCACACGGACGTCACCTCTACACACGAGCACACACATCTAGTTTACTACTAATCAATGTATACAAACTTTAACTCCTCTGTAGCTCCTGGGACGCTCGTCTGGCCTCCATGTACAGCAGAGCTTCATCCTCCTCCTCCTCCTCCTCCTGGTCCTCCTGGTCCTCCTCCCTCCTCCACCTGGAGCCCCACAGGGCCTCCTCGTCCCACAGCCGAGTGCCTCGCGGCGGGTCCGCCGTCTCTTTCGCCGTCCCCGAGTCGTCCGCTCCGTCTCTGCTCACCGTGTCCGAGTTCTCCGCCCAGCTGACCTTCGTCTCCCCCGGCAACGGAGGGACCACTGCGGCATTGTGGGACTTTGAGTCCGGCGGCGTGAGCCTCCACCGGGCGGAGGGCGAGGCGGCTCCGCTCCAGCGCTGTGGAGAGAGACAGCACCGACTGCTGCTCAGGAGTAAGAACACGACTCTGTGGAGTTTAATGTGTGAGAGTGATGAAGAAGAGAACTCACTCTTCATCGTCCAACTAACTACACTAACCCTGAGTGGACACATCATCTCAGTCTCCTCACTAACACTCAGTGGACACCTCGTCTCAGTCTCC